CCAAGTAATTTAAGTACAAATTGTTCTGACAGTCAAGCATTCAATCAATCAATGTTTTAAAACATAGCAATCAGTAGGTTCTCAGCCTAGCTGGCTGCTATATTGCATTGAATTATAGTGCGACAGAATAACAGAGTTTGACGGGACTTTGGAAGCCTTTTAGTCCAACCCCCTGCTCAAGCAGGAAATCCTCCTACCATACCATTTCAGACAAGTGTGGTTCCGTGTTTTTGTGGGTTTTGCTTTGCTTTGCCTCAACTGTTGTAGTTTGTTGGGCAATGCATAGGTAAGATAAATCATCGCTTATAGTGATGTTTTAGTCTCAAAATGTGAGTGTCGTTCTTAAGATGTCATTGCAAACTATTTTATAGATGGTATAATAAGAACATACAAAGTGAAGATATTTGAATAAGAAACTTTGTGTCTCTGAAATAGAAGTATGTGATATATAGTGCAAATATTTATACACAGAGCAGTCTGAATTCAGCTGGAAGTTCCAAAGCCTAAAATAGAACATCCCATTCACAAAAACATTTAGCCCATTGACAAATCATTTACACTGGGCTCACAATATCCAGTAATTAAAGTACTGCTTCTAGAAGATTGACTTCTTCCTCCCTAACCTGAGAAGCAGACAGTATATTTTATATCTGAATTGTTTTAAGTGGCTAAATAATTCAAATTATATTCTCCCTATATTGTTGCAATATACAATCATGTCCCAAATTTTATTTATTTTATTTCATTCAATGTAGGTACCTAAGTGATTCTGGTGATACAAAATAGAGTCTTAACTTAGTCCTTATTGAGTGGAATCTTAATAAAATAAAACCTTCCCACTTGTAATTTGAAAATAATAACCTAGAAGTGAATTGCTAGTTCAATAGGTCACATAATAAAATGCACATCCATCAGATGTTTGTGGTAAATTCAAGACTACCTCACGTCAAATATAGAAAAATAATTATTGGAGGCTGAACAAATAGTTTAGCAAGAAAGGAGAAGAGGAAAGACAGGTATATTAAGTGAATGAAAGCAACACTGTTTAATTAACTAATGGAACTGAGTATAGACAGATTATTTTCCACAATGCATTCGCTCTTACTTTTATAAAGAATTAGTAACATGTTAGTAAACGCAGTGATCCCTGCAGGGTATACAAGGATCCACATTTATAGTAGTAAAGAATTAAACCAGAGTTATTCATACTTTGCCTTAGTAATAAAAGTTGCATGTAGCTACTGTATTTAAAAAAAGAAGTAAATAAAGTTATAAAGGTGTCATGATGAAATCATATATAAATCAAATAAGTCATAATAAATCAACCTGAGCCTCCAGTAGGATTGCGTTAATTAAAACAGGTAACTACATTAATATTTCTAATTCATATTTATTTCCAATAAAAAATAAGAACATTACATTAAAATATAAATCCTATATTTGAGTTAATCATCAGTGAGAGCAATCTGGTTCATATATTGTTCTAAGCAATGGTTTGTTCATTAAGTCAGTTGGTTAGTCTCACACATTATAATATTCCAAAACCAAGCAAATCCATGGTGACAATATATGGATGCAGCCTAATTATTCTGCTAAGTCTAACAATTCTCAAATGTGTACAGTGCAAAATAGTACAGTACATTCTGACTAATATGTCTTATATTCATGTAACAATTGTCATTTGCATTAACATATTTAATACTATAAATGTAGCTTTAAAATTTCTTCACATCATTTACTTTGAAAAAGTTGGAATAGACCTTGCCATGATGTGTTTCAGCATTCATAAAACAAGATGGTGAATAAAGTAAATTGGCTTATTTGTTTAATTCAGGAGTCCAATGAAAGGGCACTAGTTTCAGTAAGAATAAGTATTTTGAATGAGAACTGTACTGTTTGTACATAAAAACAGAGGCAACTTGTTTTGTTTTATTGATAACTTCAACATGACAATTATCTAAGATATGAAATTGTAGCTGAACAGATTCGAACATGGATCTATCCCAATCTGGTTCAGGAAACTAAATTAAATATTAAAAATAAAATATATACATGAGGCATATAGCATTTTCCTAACCTCCTCTTCTTTAATTTTTTTCTCAGCAGGTTAATGTCACAATGTTAATTTTCAGTAATGTCTTATGCCTGTTTTTCTGAAATTCAGACCCCTTTTTTCTTTCCATATGATTGAAAAAACATACTCCCATCACACATGTAGTACGTGTGACATACACTTAGTAGTCTCAGCTATATCTGCTGTAATTGAAAGTCTGTTTTTATCATCCAGCTATTTCCATTTGACTTGCTTTTGCTACTAGAAAGAACTGTGAGACTTGATGCCCCATTCACCTAACCCAATTAACTGAGTCTATTCCTCTTTATAGTCAAGCAATTATCCACCATTGGATTACCCAATGAATTATTTGATCATCTTTGCATTGGTCATCATTTTCTTTGTAGTATGCCACTTCTTTTTTGTCTTTTTTTTGGTAGGTAAGAAATAATAGAAATTAAACAGTAATCAATTTGGCATGTACAAGGAAAAAGAAACAAATAGAAACAAAAAAATTTAAAACATTTCTGCAGAGCCTCTATCCTCTCCAGGTCAGCCAACAAAGCCAGTGATTAACTGTGTATTAACATTCTCTAGAAAATTCATAAACACAGAAGGGCCCAATCAAGGTAAAATCTACCATTGTTAATTATAAAACAAACCAGTCCCAGAAAATGCTGATTTTCTGTGTCTTCAAAATATGTTAAGCTTTACAAATATTGGTACCCACTATGTTTATCCAAGAACCAAACCAATTTATCACAATTTCTAATATGCAAGCATTAATACCATCATCAAGTTTCTTGCCTTGATTTGCTTAAGGAGTAAAGACTGCTATCGGTCAAGCTGAACTGCTAACATTAATGTTTGCATGTTTGTATATTAAACATTACAAAATGATTTAGCACAGTCCAATACTCCAAAATAAATAATGTGTGAGCAAAACTTCTGGCCAATCTCTAGTAAATAGAATAGACTATTTGTAGCTCAAGGTTGAACTGGGGGGGTCCTTGGTGGTCTCTGAGCTCTCTGAAGAGCTAATCAAGGAACTACCAAGAGGTCTCTCACCAATACTGACAGGTCAAGCCGTTTGTATATAAACAGAGAGCAAATCCCACTCCCTTCTAGCATTGATGACACCTAGTTGGGTGATAAAATGTCTCCAAGAAAACAACCAAGACAGAGAGCATCGCACACAAAAAAATTCATGTGGATATAAATTCTTGTATCCTCATTTTGAATGCAGGGGGATAGATTTCTGTTCAAAACAAATGTTTCTGCCCAATAATGCAACCCAAACATTTTTATCTTTATCTCTCTCATCTGTCACAAATAAATTCTTGAACAACAAAGGTTGGGTTTTTTATTTTCAAAAAAATGTTTCATCCAAACCTCATAAAAATATTAATTAGGCATCAACTTATTCTAGTTTACTAAGAATATCGAAGAAAGGGCCTTTTTTCATTTTGTGTGCACAAAAGTAAGTAGAATAATGCCATGTTCCAAACTGTCTGGTGTGAAATACCTTCTGAACTTTTTTATCAATAAAGAAACTTCTCTTTTTCAAAGCTTTATTGTTCCTCGTGAGAATAAATAAGATATCATTGTTAAGTTGTATGCCTAGGGTAAAATGATACTTGTAGCTAGGAATATAATTACATGTGTTAAGAATTGCTTCTTTTACAGTGCTCTGAGCCACAAATATTGTAGGATTTAAATAAATCAAGAAGCAATTTTGTGTCTAAGTTTTGCAACCATTACAGAAAACAGATCTGTAGAATAAAATACAAATCACTCAGCCAAATATTTGAATAATACAATTGAGTATCTTTCTATTACAACAAAGCTACAAGCGACATTACAGCTTTAGGCAGGATGAATCAACTCATCAAAAGTAACAGATTCAATACCACCATTAATAGTACACAAATTAATCAAGAGCATTTATTACTATATGGGTTAATCCCAGAAAACACTACAAAAACCAAAAGGACCGTCACAGCATTTTTCTAACTAATACACTTTACTGAAAGAATAACTTTTGTGAATTACAGCTCACGTCATCAGATGCATAGAGTGGCTGAATTAATATATTACTTAATTTGAGGCAAGGTGGGATAGGTATAGATGGAAGGGAAGGAAAAGGAGTTGTTTATGCAGTTCACGTGTGAGAAAGAAGTACTTTTTTCATTTGGTAATTGTGATGTGTTTAATACTTACTTGTATTTGTTGAAGTTTTGAGATTAAAATATTTTTCAGATTTTCCGCTTAGGCATCATAATAAAGTAGGCTTCAGTACTTCCATTCCATATATCAGATGGATGTGTGTGTGTGTGTGTGTGTTTGTGTGTGCAGGTGTGTGTGTGTCAAGCTTGAGTCCAGACAACTACATGGAGAGAGCCATACCAGTTTGCTTGATAACATTTTTGGAAGTGGCTTGCCAGTACCTTCTTGGTACTGACCCAAAAATGACCCATCTGGCTTCTGTGCCTAAAACTAGGCATAAAAACTCAGTTCTCCTGTCCTAGTAAAGCTTCAGTGCTAGATGTTATATTAAGAAAGGTGGGATAAAAAAAAAACAACTTAATAGATTGAAAATATATGCATACATGACAGACAGAAATCTACATGGAGATGTTCATAAGTTACCAGGAATTAAACACAACTTGAGGAAAACATGACTTTGCTGAGTATATATATATATATATATATATAAAAAATACAGCGCACAAAATTATTGGAAACCCCAAAGGCTGGAATCCGCATCTCAAAATAAGATCGTTACGCTTAAACAGGAGCATTCAGTTCGGTTGCCTGGTCTTTAACATACTCTGAACAGGAACGTGGGAATCTGACGGACCCCTGGGTTACAACCATGCAGTAGAAAGGGAGGGAAACTTAAGACCTGGGTGACACGCCACCGCCACCACCACCGGCGGCCACGTACCTCGGCCGGGGAAATGCGGAACGCCTCAGCGATTTTAGCGTAAAGCTCCTTCACGCTGCCAAAGCCTTCCACGCGCCCCGTGGGGCTGCCGTGCGCCAGCTGGGTGTGGAAGACCAAGCGGACGGGACCGCGCGAGGCGGTGGCGCCCCCCGCCCCGGCACGAGCGCCGGTCCCGGCCCCGACCTCGTCGTCGCCTCGCCCTCGCGCCGGCGGAGCCTCGCCGTCCACCAGCGTGGAGGTCTCCCTGGATTTGCCTTTCTTCTTTCTCCTCAGCCCCAGAGGCATCTTCCCAGTCCGCCCGCCGTAAGCCAGAGGCCAGACGCACCTGTGCGCCGCCGGTGGCGGAGCGGCGGCGCCGCTTGCTCTTTCCCACTTGGCTGAACTCTGCCCGCTCAGGCCGCGAGCTCGCGGCGCACCTCCCGCTTTAGCCATCGCCCGGCAGGTGGGCTAAGCAGGCGACAGCCAATGGGCGACGGGCCTTTGGGCCCGGCAGCAACTTCGCGCCCGACTGCCGGGGGGGGGGGGGTCTCTTCTTCTCTTCGGTGCGGTTTGTGTCAGCCGCTGAATTGTAGAGGGTCGTCGCAAAGACCTTGTTGCGCAAGATTTTATTCATAGGGTTGTTTTTTTTGGTTTTTAATGTGGCCGCCTATCTTCAGACTGCGGCTAACAAAGTTTTAAAAAAACAATAATTAAAAAATACAAGTACGGTATTTAAAAAAAATGTCAAGGTCAACCAAAACACAAACTGGCTGCTGCACTGTACAGCAATTGGGCTCAATTATTCCCCCATCTCCATGAAAACAGCCAGATTTTTAGGGCTTGTTGGAGAAGGCATGTTTCCTGGGTCCCCCTGGGTGATAGTTCCTGATCTATGGGACCCAGAGCCCCTCTTACCTGACCTAGTCAGATGGGCACAAACAGTGGGATAAGCTCCTCAAATGCCCTAGACCAGGGCTTTTCAACCAGTGGTACGGGTACCACCTGTGGTACATTGGCACCTGGCAGGTGGTACGCGACCATCCTAGAAAAGTGATAGTGGGGGAGGGGAATTGAGCTGAACAAGCCTGAGGGAGAGATGGCTGGAGCTGCAGGGCTGTCAGGGCTCAGCAGAAGCGCCATGATTAGCGCCAGGCTCCAGCTGGAGCTCAGCACTGATCCTGGCACTTCTGCTGAGCCCAGAAGAAACACCGATCAGCTGGAATGTTGCAGCATCTCCAGGGTCTTGTGATTTACATTCAGATGCTTGGCAACTGATTCATACTTATGACGGTCAGAGTGTCCCAGGGTCATGTGAAGTGACCAAAACCTGCTACAACCACCCAGCAGACAGGGGGTGGGGGAATAAAAACCAAACACCCCCCACCCCATCCCTGCTGCCAATCCTCAACAGAAATGCTCACAACAATGGAAACCTTGGACAGGAGGAAGAGCGCCGCCAGGCACTGTCTTGCTCAGCTGTGGCTTGGGGGGGCACTTTTTTCAGTGCCATTGTAACTTTGAACAGTCACTAAGCGAACTGTTGTAAGTCGAGGACTACCTGTACTTCATCACTTTTTCCCTTTTTGGGGGGGGGGTCAAGTTTTTGACACCTTGCTAGGCGACTGGTGGTACTCGGATGTTGCCATATCCTAAAAGTGGTACAATGGGTGAAAAGGTTGAAAAACCCTGCCCTAGACCCATGCCACAAACCACTTTATACATAATAACCAATACCTTGAATTACATCCAGAAGTAAAGATAGGCAGTCAACTTTAAGCACATCTACTTCAGCTTTATTTATTTATTTATTAAATTATTGGCATTTATTTGGATGACTGCTTCTTCAATCCTTCTGGGATTACATTTCTTAAAAATCAAAGACAAAAAGAAAGTCTTAACCTTCTTAAAAACAATCGGTGTTATAATAGCTTAAAACAGAAGTGTAGTTTTATACATGGGTTTCACTGTGACTTTCAAGAAATATGTAAGTTTGGGACGTATTAGCAAACAATGTTTTACCGCTTCTAATGCAAGTCTGTGGGTGCCTCTTTTGGATTCTCTTGAAACAGAAGACTTTTAGAGGAAATTGTTATTTTGCAATTGCCTTTTCTGATGCAGAAAATGGAAGGGGGAGGCAAAAGTGAAGTTTATCTTTCTGGGTTTTATTTAAACATCTGTTATGGAAGAAGAGATAAAATGATTGCACAATATAACTTGATACTATTAACAACTATTCAAAAGCAGACACTTAGGGCCAAGATTAATTCTCAGCAAAATGAAAAATTCTCTGCCAGTGGATCAGTAATAAAGAATGATATAGCTAAATTTATAATCAGCAAAATAGTGATGCGTAACAGAAAAATGCTCTTAAAGCCTTCCAAAAAATATTTTGGGAAACATTGGAATGTTCTATTTTTCTTTTTTCTGATTTAATCCAGTATTTATCTTCCCAGCAACAGTTAAATTGGTGTGATCTAAAAGAAACACTGAATATTCCATTCCCAGAATTGTATATTTTACAGAATTCCCAGAATTTTACATATGTTTTGCATATTTCTGCTAGTTATTTTGCATCACTGCTGTTTTCCATTCAATAGTTTCTCATTTTAATAAAGTGTTTATCGTTTATTTTTATTTATTAATCACACTTGTAAGGCCAGTTCACCATTACCTCATCTAGCGCCAGAGTATGCTCAATCTGCCAGATCCGGTAACATAGGCAGAAACCATTGGGGAGAGGCAGACCTGCAAATACAGTCCCAGGCCATCTAGGGGCTTTGAAGGTGACAACCACACCTTGAATTACACCCAGGAACTTGCAGGCTCATGCCAAATTCTAAACCAGATGAAGCTTCTGAATGCTTTTCAAGAGCAATCCTATGAAAAGGGTTTTAGAATAGTCTAATCAGGAGGAAATTAAGGCATGAAGAAGGACAAGATTGAAATACAATAAATAAAAAAGTTGGCATTATATTCAGGACAAACTCAGAGCTCCTTATAGAATATACATTTATCATATAACTTCTACTGCCACAAAACATTACCATTTATTTAGATCAGATGACAACTGTGGGATTATCAATTGATCACTTTGATACAGTCTCTTAATATTAAAAGATACTGAATTTACAGCTAGAAAAAATAGTTTTGTACACCACGTTGCATGAACACAACCACTGTAGTTTGTAAACCATGGATTGTAGTCTAGCATGGTGTATAAATACAACTGACCTATGCAATAAAACAGGAAACTGTTAAAAATGGTCTTATTTTACTGTAATATATAAACCCATTCATTTACTATACAATCTAGAACTTTCCTATCTTGTAAATGCCATAGGTTTCATTGGCATTTACTCTTAATAACAGAATAGAGCAGGGTTTCTCAACATTGGCAGCTTGCATATGTGTAGACTCCAACTCCCAGAATTCCCAGAATTGAGAAACACCGATATAGTGCATTATCTCCATACTGCAGGTACGTGTTACGTTTCAAATGTCAAATACTATTTTCATTTGCTCTCATGCATCAAATTGACAATTGGAGGGAAAAAAAGTTAAAAATAATAGTTTAATATTTAAAAATATGAAATGCAATACATTATCATAAAGTATATTTAAATACATTTACAAGGTGCACAAATAAAAAGTAGTAGTTTTCTTGTTCTCATTTTTAGTGTCATTAAAACTTGCTTTATAGATTCTCTCTAGTTTCAGAAAGGGATGTTATAAGGTGTTCAAAAGAGATTGTTTGCAGAGCACTTTAGCACAAACAGCATTTTGCTTCAAAGCATTAAAGTAATCAGGTCCTTTGCAAGGCCCATGCAACTGGTTTGATAGCAGTCTTTGCTTACTCCACATGCAGGTGTCTCAGCACAAATATTCTGTGTATGAGCATGCAGACAACTGGGAAGAGCTTCTGAAGAAGCTATATGAGATTTGCAAAGAAGACAACTGTTTTACTACTTTGAAGACTGATCCTTCATTTATTTTAATGTGCTTTGTGAAATACCTCTTTCAAATGCTTTCAAATGCTGGTTTAAGATTGCACATCTTGGCAGTTTGTACTAAATTCCATTAAAAAAATTTCCCATTCACTCAGGAGTCATTTTTAAAGTGTGTCCTCCCACTATCGATTACTGCAGCTGTTTTGGATTTTAATATGCTAGTTTTAGAAAAATTGTATCATTAACTTTTTACATAATTGTTAAACAGCCTTTCACTTAAAGGTGCTATCTAGCACACTTTGACTGAATAAAATTAAGTTTTATTGTAAACAAAGATAAATAATTTCATGAATGTTTCCATTTGACCATATTACAAGACAAGTAGTGTTGTCTTAATTTTAATACTGTTCATCTGCTGCCCAAGAATATTAGTTGGACATGTATTTCTTTGCAAAAATAAAGTTTCATTACTTTTTCTTCAAATAATTCACTACATATTCATAAAAACTTCAGTTTGTCTGAGTTTCAAGTATTCATACTAAACTTGAGAAAGATTGCAATCGTTACTGAATTAGGCTAATTAATCAGATGATGCTTATAAGTATGCCGCTTCATGAAATATAAGTTCCAGAGAGCATTAATGCATTTTCACAACAATCTCTATCTGGAAATCTATTAGGCCAAAAACAGTTTGCCATCAAATTTTATTTTCTATTAGGTCGCTATGTCTACTACCAGAATATGGACTAAAGGAATTCACAGACTGGTACAATAATGTAAGACCCACCTCTTCTTTGGGCTCATAAACATTTTAAATGATATTACTTGCCTGCTGCTGTGCAGAAGGTAATGCAGCTTAGAGTATATACATAAAATAAATATTGCAAATGTTACATAGATTCATATAACGAATTCTAATACTGTGATATTTTAACTCATACAGATAATCGGGATTATCTGAATTAAAGTGCATAGCAAATTATGCACTTTATTAGAAATACACGGACAGAGGTGTTCCCTTTTTACCCATGATTACATGGACACAAAATACTGGATAAAGTGTTTTGTAAAGGAAGATCCAACAAACGGTAAGTAGTAATAGCCTTATACTTGGTTGCAAGTCTTTGTATTTTGTACTCCAATTCTCATGCAACACTGCATAATTCACTTCCCTACCTGCGCACACAAAAGAAAAGTTCAACAGTTATAGACTGCACTTTTACAGCATAAACCTGAAAGTCCTTGATGTTCAATGTCTATTCGGAACAGTTCACTGATGTGTTCTTTATGATACAGGAAGATTTCTCCTGAGTACTTCTTTTGAGGCTGGAGCTATATTATCTGGGAAAATTACTTCAA